CTTTGATTTTGGTTAAGGTGGATTATCAATTACAGTGTAATCAGTGAGGGGATTCTGCAGACTGTTGAGGGTTCAGCCTCCTGATGAGTCGGTGAAACTCCGACGAAACAGTTTGTAACAGCCCCTCGTTTGTTGTCCTCTTCTCCCTCTCTGCCTACGGTTTACCGGACAGTTCTGTTTGACGATATATACATATATATATATATATATATCCACAACCAGGGTCGACCCATATGGAGAGCCTTCCGTACGACATAGGCAGGACTACACAAGACATATAGATCATTGCAGTCTCTAATTTTCCATGTATGTATCTGAATGGGACTCTGAGTCTCTCTTTTTTCACACATGCCCCCCCCCCTCTTTCCGCCTTCTTTCTGTGTCGAACTGCACCTCCATGATTCATGAACATCCATAAGCCTGTGGCTGACGTGATTGTCTGACTTTTGCATTGTTTTTTGCATGTGTGACTGTTTTGTTTTCTTTTGATGGGGTAGGAACCGACTTCTCTTCTCCAGCTCTTGCAAGTCGCTGGATGTCTCCTTCCATTATTGTTTCCAGTGTCTCCGTGTCAACCGCATAATGGACAGACACAACATCATATTCGGGAGGGATTACGATAGGAGCTCAGCGGAGTCTGCGCGTCGGGTGCACCGTAGTGTGGAGATCGCGGCAGAAAATGTAGGGGCCATGTTCAGCACGATCATAAGGCAGAGAGATGCGCTTAGGGACGAGGTGGACGATCTGCATGGAAGAATAAACGACATGTCAGAGAGCCTTGAGCAGGAGGGAGCGCGTAATGTGCGCTTGCGTGATAGGTTCGGCAAAGTGTGCAGAGATAATCTCCGACTGCGTCGTGAGATGCAGCCTACAAGCAACGATGATGCAGAAAACCCGTCCTCAAAAGTGCCCGCAGTTGATCGACCTGCACAGAATAAATCGGCAGGCGCAACGCAAGTAAAATATGTGTCCTTAAAAGATAAGGCGTCTTCGTCGCATTCGACATTCGTTTCATCCTATAGTTTGTCTTCCAACAGCAGCTTGGACGAAGCACTGAGCAATCTCCATTTGCCAGACGCATCAAACACGTCCTGTGACACTTTTAAAACAGCATCCGCATCAAGTTTGCAAGGTTCGTCTGTGGATGACGATAGTGATGCAGGTAGTGGCGCGACAAAACCCCTTCGTCGCAGGAGATGATTATGACTATGTGCGTTTGCGCCTTCGTTCCATTTGTTGGATGGAACGTGAAGTGTACTATGCAATTCCAATGTGTGATTTGTTGGATCGGATTGTAGTCCAGTAAGGCCAATATGCACTTTTTTGTGGAGTGTGCCATGTGTCGTACTCGGATTTGTGATATGCGCGCGCCACGCAAAAAAAAATTATACATAGGTGCACTATGTTGGGCCCATGCAACTGCACCTCTTGTATACCCACTTACTGTTTTCTTTTTGCATGCTTGCGTGAGAGAGTGTGTGTGTACTGCATTGGCACATTCGTGGCTTTTCTTCATTCACGGAYGCAACACACCTTCATCAGAGTTCATGAGAGSCCACTTCTCGAATATTTAAAAGCACCCTCATCATGCCTGTGTCGAGCCTGAGAGGGTGTTCCCGAACATCCCAGGAAACAGCATGCCATCATTGAAGTCGTGTTTTGCTGTGAATGTATACAAAATATTCTTCTGGTCACAWGAGTCTTGCYGTCTTGATTAGTTCTATCCGAAATAGCAGATGACATGGCAATTGACACCAGGAGTAGCATAGCATAGCATAAGTTAGGGTCCGTTTGACTATCCCGTTGTCGGCGCGAATACCCTTACAAGGGTATCCGCCCTGGTTTGCAAGTGATAGGAAATAAGCTAAGTCTAAAGGTTTGAGTATGCGGCGCGAGACGCGGCGGGGTCTGAGGGCTACGTCGATGAAACAGGTGGGCCAGTTGGAGAGTGTGTGGGCGCGCAGGCTTGAGGCGCGCGTGATTTTTTTCCCCTCTTTTGATCGCAATAGCAAACGTGGCGTGAACTCCGGTCAGCGTGCCTCATTATAACAGTCATTTGTTTTGATTAGACTGACTAACCATGAGTGCGTTGTTTTCTGGTTCCGCGGGGTACAGGGAATGGTTCAATGAACCTGTATGGACTTACGCAGAAATCCAGATGATGGGACCTGATGGATTTGGCTAAGGACGGGTAGCCGCGGCAAGGCCGGTAGGCCGACGTGAGTTTGGGTGGTCCCTTGTGCAAGTGTGGGCCGGGAAGTGGTATAGGGCGTTTCCTTGGCCCCAAGGGTCGTGCGCTACCTCTTTATAAGGCGAGTCAGGCCTGCTGGTACCAGGCTTGGGCTTAGCCCTATAGGTTACAGCACCGGACTGGTACACAGCAGACGCAGGAATCGAGGCCAACAGCGTGCGATAAGGGAGCAGAGGAGCGCGGCCAAAAGGCTTGAGGGGTTGATGGGCCAGTAGAACTATCCCCCTCGCCTTTTGGTACCACGGGGGGTGCAACTTTCGCTTGATTACCGCGTGCATTGTGGTTCTTATATGTCCATATATATATATGTAAATATATTATTTATTTCGAAGTTTTTAATACTATTATTATTCATCTCACACCCGTAGGTGGGCACGAAATCGCGCAGGGGGTATGTTGTAGTCACGGGATTGCCTGCAGTGCAATTGCCGGCTGTGATTCGTGGCTGCGCAGGGGTTACCCTGACCGCGCCCGTTTGGCTTAGGACGCGGCACAGTGGACGTGAAGTGGGATCCAAGGGCCTACCTCGATGGTGCATCCACGCGCTGTGGAAATACAGACCCGCAATTGAACTCGGATGGCGGGACTAAGGTATGGAGCAACAGCCAAGGGGTGCCCACTTGGGTAGTGCCGAGGGCAGGGGTTACCGTCGCCCCGACAGGGTGCCGCAGGGCCGTGCGACCAAGCGCAGAGGTGTGGAGTGGCCAGTTCGGCCGTTGCATASCTCTYGTAAGTYCGGGAGTGAACCCGGGCGAGAGAAAAGGGCGGATGCAGATGCGAAAAGGTTAAGAAAAGGTAGGGGGCGGAGCGGCATTTGGAAGCGCCGCGAGGCGCCGACTGCTAGGAAAAGTCATGGGACATCCGTTAAAATTGGAACGATGTAGCGAAGATTAGCATGACCCCCCCACACAACGATGAGGAGTATAAAGCAGGGGGGGCGGCCTCCCCGTTTTTTTTTGTTTGGGTTAGTAGTGTCACAGTTCATTCGGTGGTATGTTGCGGGCGCGGCCGCATTACTTGTCGGGGTGCGCTGGAGTACGGGTTGGCGACAACGAGGAGAGGTGGAGAAAGAAATCGGGCGCGGTTGAGGCAGGCAGCGGCACAGCGGAGGGTAGACAATCGGAGCAGCGGGTGTGAGACGGACGCTAGCGAGGGGAAGGGAGGGATCGGGACAGGATCCCGCCGCGGATGCATGCTAAGCGGAGCAGTGAAGTGGGCAGTAAGCGGTAGCGAGCGGACCAGCGGGGTGCGGGAAGGCAAGGGGGGAAAGACGAATGCATCGGGACGGAGTTCGGGGCCGGGTGCATGCGGGGTAGAGGTGAAGGAGGCTCGACTGTGGCAGAACGGGCGTTGGGTCAAACAAAGGCAGGCAACGACTGTGCAGCAGCGAGCGGAAAGGCGAAGCACAACACTGAAGACTGGCGGGCAGCAGCGAAGGAGAAAAGAGAGGGAATGAATCCGGGCGCGTTTTGGCGCCGGATTCATTCCAAGAAGGAAGAAGAGGAAGCAAATGTAGTTTGCTCATCTCCAAGCGGAATCAGGCGAGATAAGATTCGTGTTCGGGGTTTTGACGACGGGCGATTCTGCTTTCGAGGTCAGTTTTAGTCAAGGGTCAGTAGGATTAGAGGTAGAAGTAGAGGTTAGTCCGCGGAGTTATGGCGATGGCGGAGGCGGAGGGAGTAGAAAGTGAGAGTTCGCTCGATTCCTGATGAAATCGACCGAACTAAAGTGTTGAGCGGGGATTTCTTGATCAAGTGAAGCCGATGGCGAGATCAGATCCAAGTGTTAGCTCATAGATTTACTGGGGTAGCATTTCGGGGCTGCGCTCGATTCGCGTTGGCTGTTTGGAACTGAACCTGGCCGTAGTCGTGGCCAGGTACTTATACTACAGAAAGGTAAGTGCCTCACTCGATTCTTTTCGGAATCAAGCCTGGGGGAATAGCTGATCCGTAGTTCTGGGGTGGGTGACCCGGTATATGATGTTAGACTAGGAAAACGGATAGTATGTTAGTAGGAAAACCAGTCCGCCGAGGCTATGGCAGAGCCGCGGAGGGGGAAGAAGGGAGAGCAAGTATCCCGTTCGATCCCTTACGGAATTAAGCGGGGAAAGGATCGATATTGGGATTCAGGGACATTGTAAACACAACGGCGATGTCGGTTTTGTCTACGGGATAGGGGTTTGGCCTGGGTTAGTGTTACAGGCCGCGCCAGAGGAAGATTCGAGATTGCAATGTGTCCTTCCAGGCTCCAGCTACTAGCGAAAGATTCATCAAATCCTGCTTAGCCCTTTGATGCGGGGGCGGGGTGAAGTTAGCCACGAGGGTGGGCACTCACCTGTTGACGAGTGCATGGCTCCGTTGTAGGCTGCAGTTCGTGTATGCAGTAAGTTAGAGGGGGAAACCTGGAGAAACGGGATCCTAGGATGGCAATGTGTCTTTCCACGTCTCGGTGGAAGATTCAGTCGACTGTGCACATTTTGATCTGCCTACACACAATAGCCCGTAAACACAACGTGTCCGCCGACACTCAGGCAGAAGAGGGCTGTGAGTTTCAGTCGGGTGTTGTTATTTGAATTACCGACAGTGGACGCATTGGTTACGGTCCATGCACGCAGAGAGAGAGAGGGAGAGAGGCTACGTACCGGAGCAGAGAAGGTGACGGGTGCCTGCCGGGGTGACTCCCTGGCTCAGTACGTGGTGGGGCTCTATAGTCTGCGGACTTCAGTTGCGACCTGAGCTGGTAGGATGCTGCCCTGCCCCGTGTGTGGCACTGCGCATTCAAAGTCCGCGACTGTGTAGACCGTGCATCTGCAGCAAGTTTAGTCTGTGTATTAYWAYAAAAGTCGGACTRTGCTGCTGTCCGTGCCTGCGGGTTCGTTACTAATCCTGGGTTTGCTGCCAAACAATGGTCAGGGATGCATGTGCTGAGCTACCGTGGTTGGTAGTCCTGCCCACTCGGGCAGTAAGCTTCATTGAGTCAGTCCAGTGAGGGCTGGGGGTACCACTGTGTGGTCAGGTAGTGCTGCGATTTGTGGGGATCAGCTAGGGAAAGGCAGACAACCGCTGCCGCCAACTATTGACAGCGGCATACTAAGGCCAGCTACTGCGGATAGTAGTTGTTGTCTGTTGGTTGGACCCGGATGCCACTGCTCTTAGACTGTGGACTGTGTTTTCGGTGTGGGTGAGAGACTGGTGAAGGGCGAGCCTGCTGCATACTGCGGCTGTTGCCGCGGACGACAAAGCGGCTGCTGGCTATTACGGCGGACTGCACACGGACTGTTGCTGTAGACTGTGCGCCGCTGCTGCCCTTGACTGTCCACAGGCCGTGACAAACTGGTGGAGGCCGCTGCTATTGATCGCTGCCTACTACTACATACCGCAGCGGTTATCACTGACTGTTGCAGTCTACAGTGCCACGACGGATGAACTTGAGGGAGTGATTGAGCCTTGGAGGGAGGGGTTATCGCTGCGGATTGGAGAAGTCGTCAGACGGGCGGCTTCAGCGGTTGATTCAGAGTTTGACCAAGCTGATACATTCCTTGCCACTGCGGGGCCCTCAGGCGCATCCAGATAACAAGGCCCTCTCTGTGAGCTTGAGAGCACCCCTCTTGTATCTGAGAGTCTCAAACATTCATCTTCTATCCTTCTTACTTTAAGTCTGGTCTTGTTCTGGGGGGAAGGCGGCAGGCGGGATTGCAACCCATAGGACCGCATCAAGACTCTGTGGGGAGTCCACCCACCGATTGCGGGAGCTCTGCCGGAGCCTAGGCGAGGCTCTGGAGGCAAGGAATTCACAGGTAACCTTTGCGTTTCCCTCTGTACACCCGAGCTATAACCCCTATTTGTACTACCCATTGCATCGCTGACTGAATATATGACGTGCAACCTTACTCTATTTTTGGTTTGACTTTCAGGACACTGAACGATACTAAATAAAGGAATGTCTGCTCAAGTCTCGGTTTCAGTTTTGTTGATTGTATGAAGTCAGACTGTAGAAAAGAACAGCATCAGGGAAGGGCAGAGTG